CTGTCAGCAACTTCATTAAATACAATTTACATCACATTGTATTTTAATCATTCATTTGTGAGGACACTAAGAGAAGCTCAGAATCTTACAAGTTTAACAATGGTGCCTCTTAGATCCCTGCAATATAGATGATGCCTCTGACAGATGAACACTGCTAGTAATGTTCTACAAACAATGCTGGGGGAAGGAGAATCTATATTCCCAGCGGCAAAAAAAATTACCTAATAGAGGGGCAATGGAGTTCAGTAGTTACATTTGTGCTCTAAATCTGGCTTTTGCATTAAATGGGTATGTATGTGACTTCTTATGCCTGCGTCTCCTCTTTTGTAAAATGTGGTGCTAGTTTGGAGATTTTTTTCAAAATTATCTTCTCGTGGGAAAATGATATTCCTTCTATGTCTCTGGGGAAGCATAAGGTATTTGGTTTTAGAGAATCACATGTGGGTGAAGGGAAAAGCAACGCTACTCTCACTAAATACTTCTGTAATCCAAATCTGGGGTGGGGCTGGGGGCGGCGATTCCTACACCAATCAATTCTCTGACACCAGCTGCATATCCTACAGTTTAACTCAGTTCTGCCACTAACTGCCTGGAGTTAGTGCAAGACCCCGCAGGTTAAAAGCTCAGCCTCACAAGGCTGCCCCTGACTTCAGACGCCAATTGCAAATGGCAGCTTCCTTACAGCTTCTGAATGACTTGGCTATAAATCAGAGGTCCCCACAAGCCCCTCCTCAGTTCAGATCATGTGCTAGAATGACTCACAGAACTCAGGAAAACAGTTTACTTACCAGATTACCAGTTTATTACAAAAGGATATACTTCAGGAACAGCCAGATGGAAGAGATGCACAGGGGAAGGTATGGGGAAAGGGGCACGGAGTTTGCATGACTTCTCCAAGCTCTCCACCCTCCCAGCCCCTCCATGTGTTTGCCAACCTGAAAACTCTCTGAACTCCATACTTTTGCCAGGGAACTTTTTATGGAGGCCTCATTACACAGGCATAGTAGATTAGATAATTGGTCATTGGTGATTGACTCAACCTCCAGCCCCTCTCCCATCTCTGGAGTTCAGGGGTTGGGACTAAAAGTTCCAACACTCTAATCCCTGGTTGGTTCCCCTGGTAACCAGCTTCCATGCTGAGGCTATCGGGGAGCCCTCAACCACCAGTCATTTCTCCTGGAGATTCCAAGCGTTTTTTTTTTGCCAGAAACAGGTGTGTGTGTGGGTAGGGGGTGGGAGTATCGGCAGAGGAACAAAAATATATATTTCTTATTCTGTTACGGGAGAACACTCCAATGCCTTAGCACCAAGATCACAGGTAGTGGCTGGGTGCAAGAAAGACAAAAATGAATGAGAAATGTTTCTACAGCTGTGGACATGACTTTTGGTACAAGATTATAGCAGAGAATCTTAGCCTGGAGTTCATGGTTAGATTTAAAATGTGCCTCAGTCTCTATGAAAAATATTGTGTGTGTGCTCAGTTTTACATGATTCCATAAGATTAGAAGGAAAATCTGTAAGCAAAATATGATTAAAAGTACTAGTGCCTTCTATGCTACTTACAGGCCATAGAAAGGACTTCAGTGTCACATGAGACAATATATGTGTTATTTGGTGCTTAAGAGCAGGAAATAGCCTGAAGCACAGGGAATAATTTATAGCAAGAGGTGCAACTTTGATAGGTTTATGTTTTCATGAAAACAAATCTAGTTTTAAAGTTATTTTTTGAAGCAAATGAACATGTCATTGGTAGATTATGTGGTTAAAATAGGAGTCCTTAGATCCCCAAATCCCCCTACCGTGGAGCCGAGGAGTTTGTGAGACTGTTGACCCTCTGTGATCCCATTTCACAAAACTTCCCTGATCTCTGGCAGAAGGGCATTAAGACAAGTTCCCATTTGGTAAAATTGCCAAACAGACAAACCTTACCGTTAGGAATTTTCCAGTTCTCTTCTAATTATTTTTTCTCCCAACACACTGAAAAAAATTCATTTCCTGATATTCTCTCATATATTCATGATATACCAATTTTACTAGTTAAGTATGTTTTCAAATCTTAGAGCAAATGATTACCACATCCAGGAATATTATGTTGCTTTTGCCAGAAACATTGTATTAGTTTAAAAGGTCTACACTACATTATTGTTGTATACCAACTCCAGTCTACCTGAATATGTATTCCTTAAATCTGCTATGTGTTCATATTATATGCACCCTCCATCTGTGTAAGGATGCAGTTTAGTAAAAACAAAATGAATTAAAGTTTCCATAAGTATGTGTGGGACACATGTTTTTAGGACTTTTATGTACTGACTCTGGTCATTGTTACAGCCACTCTTCAGAAGATGAGTTAATTTCCTAAATTTTCTAGCATAATAAAGTATTAACTTATTAAACAGACCTATTTTTAAAAAATCAGAATAGAAAATCTTCATAGAAATATCCATTGAATTTCAGACTATGAACAATGGTTGAAAAATAGGCTATTTTCTTTTCAGTTTAAGTCATAAGACCTTTCATAATTACACGTTTTAAAAAATTAGTATTTCTCCACTTCTTCTTCCAGCATAGCAATGCCAAAAATACAGAAAATGGTCATTACTTGGAAGGATAATTTAATTATTAACAGGTTTTGAAGGGGTAGGCATAAAATGCTAGATTCAAGTTCTTGGTGGAGTTCATCAAGTAAGGGATTTAATATATAGTAGGTATTCAATAGTTATGTTTTGATTAAATAATATGCAATGTAGCATAACACTAAGAGGCATTTAAAATGCAACTAGGAAACTGCATTTTCCTCTTTCATCTCTTTTCTATACATTTTTTTTTATTTGCTAGGTTTCAAAACAGAAAAAAAAACTATCTTTAAATTTCACAAAATAAAGTATAGTTTGAAAAACTTCAAACTACTTCTTGGAACTTCTTGTTTTAAAGGAGTGTACAGTTAATTTTAGCATTATCCCAGGATTGTCATATTATGAAGATCCCTCTCATACGCTAAAGCTGCTATGCAATTATTAATTAAAGTTTATCAGCATGCTTCCTTGATTTAAAAAAATATCAAAGAATATTTTGACAGAAATAACACTTGCCGTTATGAAAACATGGAATTGATTTATCTAGGAAACATGGGTGTCATATATGTATATAGTGGTAGGCTGAGTAAGAGTGGGCATTTTGTGTAACTTTAAAAGAAATAAAGAATCGTGTCTATGAATGTGTTACTTCAGATGTCATTTTCTTTCAGTGCTGAAATTGCTTTTCCACACAATATCAAATTTGCTAACATGTATCGCAGGGCTTCTTCTGCTAGGAAAAATGAATTAAAATAAATAAATGTTATTTCATAAAATAAAACAGATACAAAATCTCGCCTTGTATTTACAGGTAAATTTTAATGGAATATTTCATGGTCTAACACAAATATCAGACCCAAACACTAATTCTTGTACAGCCTTTGGCTTACCCTGTATAACAAAATCTGTTATTTAAAGTAGACTATAAAATACCTTATGGTAAGTGAACTTCCAAAGACACAAAGAAAATCCTCCATAAATTTAAAAGCTTATCTCAAATTCTTATTGGCATAAGCTTAGGATGGATATATTATTAATTGCATTATCTTAGGTAGTTGAAATATATAATACTGGTTAGAGTGTGAAAATTAAAAAAAAAAAAGGTTTAGGTATTTTTGCTTCTGTTCCTAGTCAACATTAATAAACACACAGAAGTGATTGTAAAATTATCTTTACAGAATTTTGGCAATCTCAAGCAAATTTCCTTAAGTCAGCAACATTTGTTTTTAACCCTTATTCAGCGTATTACAAGGTTCATATATTCCAAGGAGCAATGATTAAATGTTCTACAAATAAAATAACATTTTATTACTGATTAATTTTTAAAACTTCCATTTAGAAACTTACAAAGAAAATGGGCATCACTGAGGAAATCTAAAATGAATGGATAATGTATGCAGTTGAAAAAAGATATGCAAAATAATGTTTGGCATAAAGGAATATGTTTTGTAACATCTTTCATAATCTGTCAGTGGGATAAAAGAAATTCCACCTTTCAATGTCTGTTAACAACCCTAAGAAAATGAACTAAATGAATAGATAATTCAATAATGTCCAACAGATAACTAAAATTCAAATTTTATTTTCCCATATGTATCAGACAATTTTTTTCTGACAAGACTTTACTGAAAGATGAAGTGCAAATGGGAACCCTGTAAGAATGTTTATGAGTTGTACATGACATATTTTAAGCGCCACTAAGTACACATTGAATACTTTGTAAGTATATAGGCAAATCAACATGCAAGTGTCATGTACCTATTACAATATGCATTTTGGTTTTTGAAAATGTTAATGATAACAGTAGATTCAATAATTGTGTTTATCTTCTGTGCAGTATGTGTGATTTTGGTGCATCTTCTTTTCAGCACAGAATTTATTGTTATGCTGTCATAAATATACCCTTCCAAAAGTTATGAATTTCATGTCATATGAATAGAACATTTTATTTTTGAAGCTACATTACTGGGAACACCTGCATTTGTGGGTACCATTTTCAGAGATAAGTCTTTAAATTCTTTTTAACATGGCAGACTTGTTCCGATGTTGGTTATGTTGAAATATTTTTGATAAAAATGGAGCTTTCTTGAGGGAATATTTTTTGGCTGAATAAAAAGCTAAACAACCAATTTGCAAATATTGATGTGAACTGAATATGAAGAAAATAGGTCAGTAATCCAAACTCATAAATCCTTGGGTTACTACTTAACTGCATCATTGAATCTACAATAAGTACAGCAGGTACAGTTAAATAAATATTTAAAGAGATTAATTTCATACATTTGTAAGGAGAAAGAGTACTAGTTTTGAATTTTTTCTAAATTATTTTCCTTTCTATTTATGAGACTCAATCAATACGTTAGAAACACAAAGAAAAGCAAAAAGGATAAAGAGATAACAATTCAGTTTACATTTCACAGTTTCTTTTTTTTTTAACCAACTGGTGACCACTGCTTTCAACCATCACATATTTTATTGCATATAACTTTCACTATCAGCAAGTATAAAGAGAAAAGTGTCTACTAGTATCATGTAAAAGGAAAATCATCTGAAGAAAGAAAACATTTGAGGTTTGACAGTACTGTGTGTAAGAGAAGTGTAATGTGGCATTTCATACTGCAATTAAAAGTCCGTGTAGGAATCACCGCTCTTCTGACCCTGGATGTGGGAAAAGTGCTTAAGTGCTGAGCCCTGGTAGGTTTCTCTTTTGCCCCTGAAATCTACAAATATCTTTTAAGTTTCTTCTTTTGAAATATACAGTACATTTCATAGGGGAAAATAGTGTTTTTTCTTTACATCTTTTTCACATTTGGGCCCATTCTCTCCAAAATAACCATACATTTATATATATATATATATGGAAAAGATGGTAAAGATTACACCAAATATTATTTGTAACATAACCACATAACATAGATATATTTTACTTTAAGCATATTTTATAGATTCAGCATCATAATTTGAGATAATTTTTGTATCCTTTTTTCCTAAAGGAAAATCTGCTTTCAAAATGTCATTTCCTTTTAGAATAATTAAATTACATCATTTGAAGAATTCATATTATGTCTATGTAGCCAAAATAAAGTGAGTGTTTGTGGCAATACTTTGCATTCATTATTCAGGGATTATTTGTTAATGAGGAGGCATTTTTCAATGCTTAAATATTTGTCTTACATAGATAACACTTCTTGGAAAAATAAATCACATATATTTACTTAAAAGCATAGCATTAATTTATAAGAAATTGTTTATTTTAAATATTAAATGAAATGTCAGCTTGGACTGCAAAGTGTTGCCATTTAAATTATTTTTAAGATCAACACAATTATATCACATTGAAATAGTAAATAGTCACGTGAGGAACTATCCTTATAAAGTTACTGTATTTTGCTTATAGGAAAAGTTAATGACAGAAGAGGAAAAACAAATGCAGATCCATACACCGTTGAGTACACTGAAAGTAAAGTTGGCTTTTGAGATTTCCCAGGGGGTGGGGAGAGGACTGTTATGATAGTTGCAAAAGAGTGCTTCCTGGGATACCTTGTAAATAATTATTTATTCTATTTATTTCGAAGTATCATAGCCCATGTTAAAAGTGAGAGGTAGAAGGATTATTGTAAGTATGCATGGCAGAAAATTTACCAGCTCTATCCAATAACTATTGCATTCAATATTAATATCTGAATACATAAAAATGCTGATGAGTTTAGAACCCATTTTTACATGTTGTCCCCTTTAGCTCTCTTTATAATCTTGCTACTTTCAATCCATTGCCTTTGGAAGGGTATAAGTGCAAAGGGCATGTTTGGGGTGAAATAGAGAGAGAAAGGGAAGAATGAGTAGAAAAAGAAAATATATAAAAAATTTCCATTAAGATATAGTGACTCTAACTATTAAAGGTAACCTATGTTCTTTGATTGAATAAATTTGTACTTGTAATAAAAGTACCACAATCCATTAAAACATACACACATTTCAAAGAAAGTTTAAGAATCCCAAATTCAATTAGATATGCATCAAAGTTGAAAACTCAGGTTATCTCTTTCTCTCCAGTAACTCTAAAAACAAGGTCAGATACTTTTATTGTGTCATGTTAATGATTAAGAAAAACTTAACGTGTTATGTCACTTGTATTTTTAATTAATGCTTTAATATGCAGGAGGTGGAGATTAGCAACATTTTAGATCTTGTTGAAGAATTTTTAAAAATCCCTTTGCATTAAGTATCCAGCAATAGAATAGCAGATATTGCACTGAGTGTATTTCAATATTGCCAGTGTATATTTCAAAACAAGTACTACTATCTACACTAAGATTTCCTCTTTCCCAATATTCAAAATGCATATTATAATTACATGGGTTTCCAACATCCATACACAGCAAGTACAGGATACTTACATGTACGTACACTGTAGTTACCTATATTTTGCATAGTTTTTAGTGTGTACTTTGTGCCACTTAATAAAAAGCATTACTCAGTAATTCTCATTATGTTTTTCATTTATTTCTGCTGTGGTTGCCAGTTGTTTTTTTTAATTTTTTTTTTGTTTTGTATTGTATATTCTTCACAGATTACCATTTGCAAAGGGGGATTATAGTGGGCATTTTTAGAGGGCTCTAAGTAATTAGCAATGTGATGGGGAATTTGCAGTAAGATATGAGGTTTTGCATTTTCTCCACAATTAAAAAATGTAACATGAAATTTCATATTTATCATTCATTCAATTATCCTTATATCCAAAGAAAAAGTATTTTAAATGTTCCCCTTCGTAACACTTTGCAATAAGTGGCACTAAATTACACGATAACTGCTATGTTACATGGAAGAACCATCACCGTCAAACAGCTGCTGTACATGGGCCTATATGGAATCTCAGTGCTGTTACAATCATGAGTACATAATTACAAGTGAGCCTGTCCCTTTAATTGAGATATTTATACTTTTACAAAGAAATAAAAATAAATGAGGTGTTAGCTTCTTTTGCCATATTTAGGAAAGTTAGTTTTCTTTCTCTATTTGTTATTTTAATTGTGGGGTTTCAATGCAAGATTAAGTATCTTGAATCAATATGAGGTCATCCAGTTTCTAGATTAAACTCCAATATCAGGTTCCTTAAACTGCTTCTTGGATTCTCTGGTAAAAGAAAACAAGTTGGAATCTCTCTCTCTCTCTCTCTCTCTCTCTCTCACACACACACACACACACACACACACACACACATACACTACTGTGCTCATGCTATCTTTGCCCTTGCACTCACAAACTTTCCTTTTTCTTCCTAATTTTTATAATCGTTCTATCTAGGACACTCAAAAATGGAAGCAAGAAAAAAAGAATGCTGTTTACACTTTTTTGATGGAGGACAATTTACACTGTAAACAGTACACTGGCAGAGAATAGCTACTTTTGGTAAAGAATAATGTTCCATATTCTACTAGTGGGGTGTATGTGTGTGCACACGCCTTCCATTGTATTCTGTGGCTATGGCTCTCTGGGCATATAAGTGTGTATGTTTCAGTCATGGCAATTCGCATGGTCCATTTAGAAATTTATTTCATATTTTTTCTGATTTTTATAGAAATGAAAAGAATTTTTACAATTTATCTCGTTTGGTGAAAATCAAAAAAAAATTTAAGATAGGAAAATATAATACCACTGCTGTTTTCTTTCAGTAACGGAAATGATACCTAATTCAAATCTATTTTAACTGTCAAAATATTTGATTAGAGCTCACAAATCATAATATACCAGTTAGTTTCATTTACAGAGTTCCAGTGAGTTTTTATACTACTGTAAAGGGTTAAAAGAGTCAAAAGTCTTGAAGTGCAACCAATTTTGGATTTCTAATTTTGCAGTGCTATAAATAATGATTGAGTTATTTAGGCAACAGTTTAGCAGTTGGAGCCAAGTAGAATACAGATGAAATGAAGAGGGATGTAAATACAACATCGATGAAGAGTAGCAATTTTGTAAATGCATCCTGAAATTAGGCTCTAAATAGTAATTGATGATGCAGTTTATACAACTTACTTCTGTAATAAGAACCTTTCCCTTTTGTAATAACAGGATGAATTTTGCTTTGTGGAATCTTTCTAAAGATTATGCATTGAAAGGTATGAACAGTTTATAAACCTATTCTAGTTTCAATGTGTCTAGTAGCACCTACCTGATTCTCTCAAACTACCATACTATATTAACATATTATTGCATTTTTCCACAGATGGTATGGAATGAACTGTAAAAACAAGCATGCAATCACATCAATGCAGACTTATTTCCTTAAAATGTCATACTGTATATGATTTATTATGTTAACACTCAACCACATCATATTATTTATGTTCTGTATATTCTGAAAAAGTGCTGCTTGACTGACATCGTCCTTTTTCTCTTGTAAGAAATCAACAAGATATATGCTTCAATGATCAAAAAAAATTAAAAATTCTAACGTTGTCCTTAAAAGATTTATACTTTTCTGATAAATAATCTAAGATACAGCACCCTTGTCTTTCATTTGATATTAATACATGATGTCATACTCAACCATTCTCATTTCACAAAAATAAATTCCAAAATAATATTTTTAAAACCAGAGGCCATCATGCTTTCAGACGTCGCAAGTATAGCTACCATATCGTCATATGTGTGTTCTTCTTAAAGGTGCAGTGCTTGTCAATGGGAAAATAATTTTTATCTAACTGGATTTTTAATCTTTAGCATATAGTAAATCTAATGAGCACTAATCTAGTAGTATCGTATTTTACTAGGAGAAATAATATGACTTTAGATCGACTCTGTGTCATATTTAAGAATACAGCATTTCTTAATGGTTAAATACACCAAAATTTCAGAAATAATCCAGAGAAAGAGACTTTCACCTTGGAGTTAAAAGCATGGCAGAAATTCTCTATCACTCACTGTTTCGTAAGTTTGTACCTCACAAAATGCATAGACAGGAATTTAATATAAAGAATTAGTTCATTTATACAGAAAACATATCTTAAACACTTCTTTTTGTCAAACCAACATAGGTAAGCAGCTCTGGAACTGCCAAATTAAAATTTGAAAATTTTTAGCAAACTAAGAGTTTATTTTTAGATTATTATTCAACTGTGGTTGTAATTTAAAACCTGAGGCTGTGCACTGGTTGTTAGCTTAAAATTACCTTTCCTTATAACATTGTGCTTCCATTGAATAACAAATAAAAATTAACAAGAACTAGAAAAATTTGTTGTTGAACAGTGCTAGGACATACAGACAAAAATACTAATACATGTTACCTACTTATAATATTGGTTTAAGTAATATCTAAAGAGATATAATGGACATTAGAAAATGCTTACTCATGACTGAATTACCTACAGCCAAAAAAGTTAAATATGTATCAAATAATGTTTAATTGGATTTATTATATGCACTATATACAGATACTAAAATGTCTCAAAATTGTGCCCTATGGATATTTCAATTTTGTTTAGGCAGGTGAGTCTTTGTGGAACAAATAAATTACAGAATCAAATTAGAGAAATGAATGAAATTTTTGTGATTCCCAAAACAGTAAAATGTTTGTAACAATTTATTGGTATATGAAGCTAAAATAACCTAATGGTAAGATCTATATAATTATATAAGATAGCATGTCCTGATTGCAATCCATATACATGGCTCCTGTATCAAATACTAAATTTTTAAATAGTGAATTGATACAGCTTTACCAGTACAATCTCAAACATTCCAGAATCTATACTACAGTAGTCTTTTTCAGTTTTTGTCTTTTAGGGCATATGTTTCCAAAACATGTCTTTGAATATAGACATGTAGAAAACATCGTAAACCTCTAACATCTGATTGAACTTAAGCACGTTAGGTCTTTACCTAATCTTGTTACATGTGAAAGCTGTCCAATGGTAAACTGACAAGGTCTTTGATTTAAAGGGGACAAAAAATGAGGGGAAAAAAACCTCTGCATACATTTTTTTCAATGTATAAAAACAATTCAATATCATGATCCAAGGAGATGATTAACATTGTTAAGGCTGTATATTCAAGCACTGTATGTTAAAAGAGCAATGGTGTGGAATTTAGGCAGTAAGAAATGTCCTGCATTATGGATGGTACAGTAATTAAAGAATGATGCTTTCAACAGCTGATTGTTGGTATACACTGGCTACTGATAGCAGTACGGCATGGAAGTTAATAAAGGTAGCAGAAGATGATAGAAATGAATTCTGAAAGATGATAGCCAGTTTTCTCCAGCAGCCAGTGTGGTAAGTAAAATTCAGAATCTTGGCCTGCATCTTAAATGAAATATTCTTTTTTCTCTTCAGCATTGACTTGGCTGCCCTCAGCATTGATAATGGCTGTGTCAGCATCTGGTGCATCTTCAGCTCCTTTAGCTTCATTTGTTAAATATGTTCCTGTGGGTATTGGAAGAAAAATACGTTAGTTCTGTCAGACTGGTAAAATAGCCAGTATTAAAGCTACATTCATTTAGGAAGAAACTTATGCCAGATTTCTTATATGTTGAAACATATTCTGAGTCGTAAGAAACCACACAACTCACCCTTCTAAAGTTGCACACTTTCTTTCGGTATTCTAGTATATGTTGTAGATGAAGCTGTGGTCAGATTAACTAGAGGCAACAGCCAAACTGGAATGGGTAATGAGTACTTTGATTTCTTTAATGATGGCTTCAGACCATGTGATCCATGCAGCTGTAGCAATCAGGGCCCTTTGTTAAGATGTTGATAATGATCACATCAAACGGGTCACCATTTATTTTGGTAACTCCATTTAAAAGTAGATTATATCAATAGTTTGCTACCTAGCCCATTGTGAAAAATCACATATTTTCCTCACTAATATGGCCACACGTGTGTCCATAAGCTTACAAATAGAAACATTACCAAATGATTAATGTTAGAGTTGAATTTCAGTCCTAGAGATAAATTACAAACTTGCTTCCTTTTTTTTTTTTTTTTTTCCTGAGCCAATGATTTACTCTGTGACTTTTGGCTACTGGCTAAGTATTATTTTGATAGCCAATACAGCTTTAACGTTGAGTAAAATAATCAAGAATTCTCTGAAACAACTTAGTAGTTAGATCTCTCTCTTTCACCCCCCATCTCTCTCCCTCTCTCTCTCTCTCTCTCTCTCACACACACACACACACACACACGCATGCACGCACGCACTCACATAATATTTCATGATGAAGCTAGTCTTTAGAATTTTTTTTTTGCCAAATGTAAGAATGCTTTATTAAATATAACCTACCTTTATGTCTTGCCAGATACCGTCCAAGCAAAAATATAGAACACAGAGTGACAAATACAACTACAGCCACAATTCCTCCTATAAGAGCATGATCAGGGCCAGTCTGGCCAGCCAGAGCATTGGGATCTAGAAAACAGAGAACAATATTGTCCTAGTTAGTGTGTTATTTAGACACAGAATACATATCTGCATTAGAATGAGTTATGTTGAAAACTAGCACATTAAAATAAAATTTTATTAATGTGTATTACACCAGTCATGTAGTCAACAAATATTTATTATGTGCCTATAATGTACAAAATGTTGGAGAATATAACATTTGACATATAAATTACTGTTGCCACTGAGTTTCCATTTGAAGGGAAAAACAGGATAAACAAATACATATATATGATTTTGTACAGTTACATGCCTTTTCTTTCTCCTCTTCTCCACCTGAAAATATGTGTGTGTGTATTTTTAATGTGACAAATACAACTATACCATTTAAAAAATGCAATTATGTCATAGGAAACACTGGGGTTAGAGATTATAACTTGGTATTTACCATTATATAAATATTATTTAAAGCTAAGGAAATTGAGGAACTCCCCAAGGGAGAGAGTCTAGATAGAGAGAAGAAGTCTGAAAATTGAAACCTGAAAAGCTCCCATATTTAAAGTCTGAAAGAAGTGCGTCCAGCAGAGTAGACCGAGAAGGAGAGAAAAGTGGGGTAGGAAGAGATCCTGGAGAGTACACATTAGTTGATCAAAGGGAAGATCATACTTCAAGAAGAAGGGGGTTTACAAACTGTGTTGTGTTATTGATAGAAGGAGGAAGATGAATACTCGACATTGAGGATTAAGTGCCTGTTGCACTTGTAACTTTAAAGGAAGTGGTTGGAAAGATTAGATTAATGATATACTTTTACATTCTGCCTTTAGTAAGATATTATAGGAAAGAGCTGCGACCAGTAGAGGATGGCCAGTTATCAAGCAGAAATGAAAAGATCAAAGAAAGCCCCATATTTTGAGTACTCAAAAGTATGGAAAATCAACTATTTATAAAAGTTGCACAATAAGAGATAAAACTGAGGTTCTGAGCAACAAAACATACTAAGGCTCAGCCCTATGGCAAAAGTCAGGTTAAGTGTACTGCCTATCCTCCAAAGTCCATTGTGTGCATAACTTCACGGGAGCTGCTTATAGCCTACAAGAGAGATTTAGAGAGAGAGAGTAAAGAAATAAATTAGGCCTGGCAATTCCACTTTCAGAAAGTCTTAAAGTGTGGTTACAGGCACAAGAATCTGACAAATATATTAGGAGTCTACTGTGTTTTTAATGGAACTATTGTGCCAAAGAAGCATATACCTAATTAGAAAAGAAAAGAAAAAGAAAGAAAAGTCTGACAATTGAAACATCAAACAACCTCTGGACTCCCAAACTTGGTGAAAGCAAGAAGTGGCCTATAAAAGCTGTGTCGTCCCCATAGAGGGCATATTACCAAACACCCACTTCTGATGTGGCCACAGAGTATGACTGACAAGGTTGAACTTCCTGTAAGGCAGAATTGTAGAAGCAAAAAAGAATGAACAGAAGAAAATCTAGTTTCTTCATAGAACTATAACTATTGCCAAGGCAGAGGGAACTTTTCATGCCACTCTAGCATATTTTCATAATTATTATGGATCAGTGACTACTCAAGTGTTCCCTATTTTTCTTCTATTTCCAAAAGAGAGCCTTTATTTAAAGGAGTGCTTTTCCTGAATCTGTTCTATCATTGTGTTTTGTGTATGAGATGGAGAAGAGTGTTGAAACTTGTGTTTTGGTTCATTTGTCCCTGGACTAACATATCCAGAGATGATGAAGAGAGCTGTGCATATTTGAGGATCTTGGTCTTTGAGTTGGATACAGTGGCTTGATGGGACTTGAGGTTATCTCTTTGGACAGGGTTTAGCAATGGTTGATGGCAGAGAAAGAAGGTGTAAAAATATTTGTTGATCAGAAGGCTATATTGGGGCAGAGATTTCTAGCTAATGACAAATTTGTTTCCTATTCTTTCAGTGAACAGAGCTAGACATTTACCAGCTTCACTGGCAGTTGAATGTTAACCATGTGATTTGTGTTCTAGACAACTGAAAGAAAGCCCAGCCAATAAATGCCTTCCACATGTAACCTTCCCGAGTGATCTCAGGAGATGCAAGTTCAAAATAAGAGAACCACAAGAATAGGTCAGGCCATGGGTCACTGACTCTCCGCCTGGAAGAAAATTATTGCCAAACTAAGAATATATGCATCGCCAAATTGCTTGAGGGGAAAAAAAGAGCTTTATTTTCAAAACACTGAGCATTAAAAAAAGTAAATCTGTTACAGCAGCTATTGTTAATTTAGCTTTCTATTATATATTTCTTGTACTTCCCTTAATTTCTGGCATTGGCTGTAAATCTCAAAAAAAAAAAAGGAGCAAAAAATAAATCTGCCATGCATCTGAATTCCCTATTCCTATTCCTAGCTTAGATAATTTAGAATCAGTTTCAAATTCCACCTCCTGCTCAAGTTCCCAAATACAGATAGTCATAAATTATATCCATTTTATTTGCTGATTATCTCTCAGAACTGAGCACTCTTTTTGGGAGCTGAAAAATCACTCTTGTTTGTACATCTGTACCTGTCATTTCCTGAAGGTAAATTCTGAGAAGTAGTATTGCTGGATCAGAGGATACAAACATTTTAAAAATACTTTTGATAAACATTGCCAAATTATATTGCACTTTACAAATTCATCCTCCACCAACTGCACCTGAGTTCCCATACAGTATTACCAGCAGATACTATAATTAAAAGAAAAACTGTCAATCTAATATTGAAAAGTGTTAAATATTTTGTGTTAGTAAATTATAAGTTAACATCATAAATGTGTCTAAATACTATTTCCCATATTAATGCATTAATTTTGGAATGCCTATTTACACAGCCTGACCATTTTTCCATTCAAAATTTCTGCCTTAACAGCTCTCTCCATAAAAAGATGAACATTTTTAGCAATTTCTTTTTATGTATCCTTCATTTCTGGTCTTTTTCAGCCATAGATAAGTCTTACTATTTTATGTAATCAAATCTATCAAAGTTTTGTGTTATGATGTCTGACTTGTGGATCCTGATTTGAAATGCTTTTGCCATCATAAGATTATACACATATAGATTTCTGTTATCTAACACTTTTATTATTTTATTTTAATCTATCTAAAATGTATTTTGGTCTATGATTTGAGGCTAAAGCATAAAATATGACTTTAATTCTTCTGTGGCAGACCATTGTCTCCCACATTGTTTCTTTCATCAATATTTTTGTCACTTACCATAAATTAAATGTCTACCCACTTTATGTGTTTCTGCATATTCTAGTCTATTCCATGTGAGGGGTCTACATATGCAATCCTAGGCTAATATTTTAGTTTTAAAGATCATTTTACTGCATTGGCGGAGAAGTCTTAGATCAGGTTCAGAATATTTTTGCAAGAAACAAAAATACAACAGATTGCTTATTGGAATTGTACTAATTTACAGATAGCTTTCTTTTATATAGTGCATTTTCCAGGATAATGGTATGACACTTCAATTATTTAAAACTTTAGTGTCTTTTAGTAAATTGTGTAGTTTTCTGAATAGGACCTACATATTTTTATTAATGCTATTTCCCATTAAAATAATATTTTTAATATTTAATATTTTAAAACATTTTAATATTTTAAAATATTTTTACTTTTTCATTAAACTTTATGACTCCTTTTTCTTTATTCCATTCATATTTTGCACTCTGTTTTATAAAGCATTATATCTAGTACTTGTCAAGATCATATTTTTCATTTTTATTTCCTGACTGTCAAACTTCTTTAGTTTTATATTTTCTTTTTTCTACTGCTCTAGTTAGTGCTTTGTGAATAATAATGACAATTTTGTCCTGATTCTGATGATCTCAGAAATGCATCAAAAATTTAAATGGACTAGCCACCATCCTCCTTTTGACATTGTTTGGTCTCTTTACTCATCTCAATATCTAGAGTTCCTTTTACAGCTTCTCCTTACCTAAAATTAGATAGTAAAGATATTCATATCATCACCCCTTGATCATATGAAGCACACATCTTGTCAAAAGAAAATTTCATGATAACAACATCCTTGAACCTTGAATATCTGAGTATTATTTTATTGTGAATAAACACTCAACTGGCTAAAGAATTCTGGGTTTTTATCTTTTTGAATTAATAATAATACAACACAATTTGTCAGTGTTTTGACAATTTGTTTTGCCTCCCTTTCCTACCAAATAAATCTGAAATCATTTGGATTTGTTTTGCCTCCCTCTACTCCAAGATAAATCTGAAATCATTCAATTTTCTAAATGACCTGCATTTTCTGCATGATTGCTATCAGAATATTTGGTTTTTTCCTCCACTATATTTTGATATTTTAGCTGAATATATTTTGTAGTTTGTCTCTAGTCAGAATTTGACTTCATTTGCAAACCTACTTTTTTATTAAATTCAGATTAAGTTCATTTGTTTTTTGGCTTAAGAATTCTTTTTTTCTACTCTACTTTTGATTAACAACTGTTCTTTCCATTTTCTTTCTTGAAAAATCCAGTTATGCACTGGTAGCAACTCCATATTTCATGTTGCATATATCTCATTCTTTCTTTCCTATTTTTATAATTTTACTAAATTACATTTTGTTTTAGTTATATTTCCCAAGTTTATCATCTGTTTAGATGATTTGATTTTCTATCATAGATTTTCCTTTTTATTTCTTCCTAAAGGGTTTTGTTACTAATTGTGACTTTGGTTTAACTACACTCCCTGTTTAATCCCACTCTGTTCTTACTTAGTATATATTTTAAACAGTTTTATATGACTGACAATAAAATGTGATAGTTTGATAATATTTTCCTCATTTTAGTATAATAATTCCATTTAAATGTCTGAAAAAAATGGTTTTTCTTGGTGAGCATATATTATTTCTCTTCTTTTATTGCAAATTTTTTTCATTGGATGCAAACTGAATTTTTAAATTCTATACATCCTTACATTTTCTTTTCTTATTTTCATTCTTAATGTTGAGATGTTTTGAAGACAGATTCTCTTTTCTGAG